TTACATTACTTGATGATTTTAAATATCTGTTAGGCATAATATTCTAATTAACATAATTTTAATTTAATTAATATATCTTATATTATAGTTTTTAATTTATGTAATCAAATACGAGTTTTAGAAAAAAATCGCATTAATTAATGATTTTAAGCAACTAGTATCGTATGCAACACTTTATCCGGTAAACGCTTACCGTGGTAAGATTAGTCGCTATCACTTATCATGTAAGACTCTTGATGTTTGTTTCGTTCTTACCGGTTAAGATTCTTGGTGCTTATCATATTCATCCAATCAGGTAATGTAACTTGATAAGTGCTTACCCGGATAATTGTTAGAGATAGCTTTTAAGTTTTAACAATGTTTTCTAAACATTGCAGAAGAAGAAACAGAGAGTAGCAGGATCCCAACCATACGCAACATGAGGAATGCACTCTCGTGGCTAATCCAAGGATGTCAACCAGGAGACTCCCTTCTCTTCCACTACTCCGGCCACGGTTCACGGCAGAGGAACCGCAACGGCGACGAGATCGATGGTTACGATGAAACCTTATGCCCCCTGGATTTTGAAACACAAGGCATGATGATCGACGATGAAATCAACGCAACAATCGTCAAACCTCTTCCTTTTGGCGTCAAACTTCATGCAATCATCGACTCTTGCCACAGTGGAACTGTCGTAGATCTCCCGTTCCTTTGCAGAATGAACAGGTCACCTCCTCTTACTCCGATCTCTTATTCTATTCCTTTACTCGTGACCGAATACGAATAAATCGTATTTCTTAATTTTATACGAATAAATACAAGATGTGTGTAGATAACCATATAAAAAGATCTTTGGAAATACATGAAATCTATCGTAAATATAGAAAACTTATTTTAGAACCTTTAGAAATGTTGACATTTGTAAGGAAGAAAAAGAAGAATTTGATATGAATAAATAAAATTTCAAGTGGGTAATTGAGTATAACACTTCAAAGTAACAAGTTGACTCAATAACTTATGATCCAACTTAAAACCATGGTGGAAGTTATTGGTAGCCCAATACTTAATGTTTCTAAGGAGCTCACAAATCTCATTTTCTATCCATGTGGACGAGTTGTAAAAGACTCCTCCACTTAAACTCCTTACGTCCTCGTCAGGCCTGCCAGAATCTTTCTCCTTGTAATCGGCGACGTGGGATTCACCTAAGATGTTATAAACATCCCCATCGAGGACTCTTCATACCTGATGAGGTTTGTCTCACCATCCTGACGGTACAAAGATCGATTTTGATACCATTTGTAACACCCCAAAACCCAAAATAACAGGCTGACTCAATAACTTCGAATTCACCTTAAAATCATGGTGGAAATTAGTGGTAACTTACAAAATCTCATTTCCTATTCATGTGTGAAGAATTATTACATTGAGGTTAGACAAAAACTCTTAAAAACTGTTTATTGATGCATATTACTTAAAATTCAAGATTACAAGTAAATTGTGCGTAAATACAACTTATTAAAGCTTCATGTTTGAATTCGTGTAACTAACTGCGGATAAATATAATTAAATAGAGAATAAACATCTCATTTTAAAATATAAAAAATTTAAATATAGTTAGGATAATTATTGTGTTCTAACAAAATAATTAATTATTATCTTTATAAAAAATTATATTATTAAACCAAATATAAATTAATTCGTTTTTAAATTTTAATTAAATTATAATAAAAATTTGAATAAAAAAAATATATAAAAACGAAAACTTTTAAATAGTTAATTTAATATTAATATCATTTATTTCTTTTCAAAATTTTATGATATCTTCAAATTTATATTTCGTTCAAAAATAAAAACATTTTCTTTTTTTCAGAACCATGTAGCATCATAATATTGATAGACCCAAAAATCAAAACGAAACATTAAAATCAAGATGTATCTCGCTACATTGCACGGGTACCCTTCTAGTGTATATATATACATATATATATATATATATATAGAGAGAGAGAGAGAGAGAGAGGGGKTGGTTATTATACAACCCTTGACATTTGTACAACCAATACAACCCAATCTCAACCGTCCATTTCATTTGATTAATATGTGATTTCATAGAAGTTTTTATTGTTTCCTAATATAAAGTATCGATCATAATTAATGAACTATATTCATCTTCCATAAATATTGAAATCATAATAAATGAACTCACATCATTTCCATAAATATCTCAATATATTGGGTTGCATTGGTTGTACAAATGCGATGAGTTGTATTTGAAACAAACTCTCTCTCTCTCTCTCTCTCTCTATATATATATATATATATATATATATAGGGTTGGGTTCACGTGAGACCAATGGTTTTTCATGAGACCCGTAAGACCAATTTATGTTTATTGATCAACTTTATAAGCTAATGATCTAATGGTCTAAAGTTGTACGGTGACAATTTTGTGATTATTAAGAAGTCTCGTGACAATTTTGTGATTATGAATGTTCAGATTATAGATCTAATCCAAGGGTTAAGAATTGGTCTTACGGGTCTCATGAAAAACCCTTGATTTCACATGATCTGAAGTCTATATATATATATATATAAACAAATATAAATTGTGAGATCCCAAAAACCATGCTACATAGACCGACTGGCGTCGCTATCAACAATCCAACAATTAAATGATTGAATATCCATAAAATCAACCAACAATATATAACTCAACTTTACACTTTTCTAGACTACAATGACTTTGCAGGCGTAAATTGAAAGCCTCTTTGTGATTCTTTATCACAAATGTCAAACTGATGTCTAAATTAACAAGACTAATGGTCTATGAATGAATCAACTTCTTAATGTCAGCCTGATTTGACTTTATTAAAATTATTGAATTGTATTCCAACCCATCTTAAGCTTCCAATAACAACTTTTAAATGATCAGGGTTACCTCATAAATCGCACTTAGACTGCATGGGACATGATAATTTTTTCACATAATCATTTGATTGCCCCTTAATCGCCAGGTGCCTCGCTCCAACTGCATTAGTATCTTTGCTGGCTGAGGACAGGATGTGACAAAAATTACTGTCCCATGCTTGTCGCAGTGTGAGACAAGACAAAACTAACTGTATCACGTTTGGTGCGACAGATGACAGGGACAAAAACTAGGATAAAGTGAGACAACATGACACAATAAAAGTTTTTTTTTCTTGTTCTACCAAAATAGGTAGAACAAGATGGGACAAGAATAAGAAAAAGAAACTAAAATATTGCTAATTAATTTTCATTTGATATATAAACTTAATATGATATTTGTTTTAGTGGTTACCACCTCTAGTCTCAGCCGCTATGGCCACCTGTAGCCACCGTCGGTTACCTCCACCTCCTCCACAACTACCGTCCATCACCACCTCTACAACCATTGTCGGCCACCGACCACCATCATCCATCTCCACCTCCACCGTAACCAACACTACCTTCGCCGATTGATAAGTAAATTTCAAACTAAATAAAACATAATATCTCTTATAAAGGTTTGTGTTTATGTATATGAAAATGGAGTAAAAATGTTTATAAATTAAATTATTCAATTATTTACTTTATTTATATTAATTATATGATATATAAAATCATCAAATAACTTTTATGACAACTTATCTACTTCTGTCCCATCTAATCCTAGTTGTATCAAATACTTATATTGTCGAGTTTTCTCCGTCCAATCATATTAAAATCGTTCCCCAAAGTATTAGGGGCTGGAATTGCCAACCCTGAAACCTCACTTCAATACACGCGGATCCTGTACCGGATCCGACCCGTTTCTCATTGCCCAAGTATAAATAACCCTTGGCGTATTCCATTTTTCTTATTCCCGTCATTTCTTTACTTTTTCTCAAACCTAGCGGTCTCTCTTTCTCCTCTCGCCCTCAAACCCAGAAATCGGCCATCACCGCCGAGTCTGACAAACACGCCGATCAAACACGAGCCCTAAACCGTTCTATCAGCCTTACGACGTACACGCCGATCAAACACGAAACCTAAACCGTTCTCTCAGCCTTACGACCTACACGCCGATCAAACGCGAACCCATGTTCCCGTTTTCGAAAACCCTAGCCTCGTCCGTCTTTCTCCTGTCTCTCAAACCCAGAAATCGGAGACCACTGCCGGCTGTAGAGCACGATGACCTCAACCCCAACCCGACTAAGTCTTAAACCGTTCTGTCCGCTCTACGAAGAACACAAACACTTGTTTTCTTTTCTAAATCCCGATCGAAACCCTAGACACGTCTTTGTTTCTCCTCTCGCTCTCAAACCTAGAAATGAGAGTGTTTAAAAACCGGATGAACCCAATTCGAAATAACTTAACCCGATGTCTAATCATGTTATAAAATTGTCAAACCGTAGGTATTAGGTTGATGTGGGGTTACTATTATTTGAAATTAACTCAACCCGGTATATCTTTTTATTTTTTGGATTCAATATAATTATTGAATTTCTATTAATATATACATTAGATAATTATAATTACACTATCACGTATGTTTTTTATATACACTTATTTTTAATTTCACAATATGAACATATATATGTAAATTGAGAAAATTAAACGAATATGATATACGTAACAAGTATGGATAAGTTGTATCAAATGATTGATGACGAAAAAAAATTATGAGTAGAGAAATAACATATTCAAGGTTAGAAGAATATTTTAATATATAAAAATATCTAACCAACAGGTATGAGTTGGGTTTTTATATATATATATATATAGTTCTAAGAAATATTGAACAACTATTTTTGGACTGTTGTACCATCGCTATAAACGCTATTTTAAATATTGGTCCTGACCATAATTTTGTATTTCACCACTATAGTAGCATAGCCGCCACCACCCATTACCACCCACACTAGAGTGTTGGTCCCTCTTAACTCCTATATTGCAAGAACCTCCTCCATGACCACTGTCGAACATTGACCATCATTGTCCATTGCCATCACCACTACCACTACCACTGTTGGCCACCTCTAACTTTTCCTCTATTGCAACAACCTCCTCCATAACCACCATCCATTGCCACCTCACCTCCACCATAACCACCACCACCACTATCTTCAGTACATCAGCTACAACTACCTCCTCCACCGTTGTCAATCGTCATCGCCACCACAATCCACCATCTCCACGTCCTCTGTAACCACCTTCATCCACCAACCACCACTGTCTCTACCTCCATAACCATCATCAGCCATCGACCACCACGTTCATCGCCACTACTATCGTCGGCCACCACGACCTCCACCATTACCACTACCATAAATTAAATCAAATTTTTCATTCAAATGTGATACCATTATATATGTATGTAATCATTTATATGAGAATTGTATAGAAATATTTATAAATTAAATTCTTTCATTATATACTTTATTTGTGTTAATTATAATCATTATATAATATTTAAAATCATCAAATAATTTTTGTGGGGTAACTTGTCTAGTTCTATTCCGTCCAATTCTAGTCGTACAAAGCACCATATATACATTTGTTCTGTCTAGTCCTGTCCAACACTACTCTCTTGTCATGTCCAGTTCTATCTTGTCCAATCATGTCTACGTATCAAACACTACTTAAACCCCTATTTCAATGTCCCAACGACGTTTATTTTTGTTTTTTTTAACTGTAACCAAAATAAACGATCAGGGGTTGAAGAACGTTGAAAACCATTGTTGGTTGATGGCAGTAATTTTAGTTTAACACAGTTTGATAACTTCAATATATATTTTGAAGGTCATTAATATTTGATTTATTTGGTTGAATTTGTAATTCAATAATATTTTTTTAAAATACGAGTAAACCAACTAAACCGAACCACATCCGTCTCAACTTATATGTAATAGGTTGGTTCGGTTTATAATTTTCCAAACTGAAATAATTAGGTTAGGTTTATATAAGATTAAATGTCAATGTTCAGAAAACCTGACTTAAGCCTTGTGTCTCACGTCATGTTGTATGTTATGACCTAATGTTCTGTTTTTATAACGTAAAATATATAATTTTCCTTATTTTTTTTGATGTTTTATTTGTTTTTTTTAATGTATAACCTAATTTAAATTATTTAATATCATTGACTCATTGAGTAATAATATATATATATATATATATATATATATATATATATATAATCTGTTGGAATGATCTTAGTGATTGATGATTATAATAAGATTAATCACGATTAAAAGCAGTCGTCGTACTCTTTTAGGGTAGAATTTACATTTTACTTTCTCATACGTTATTTAGTTTGGTTCATACGAAACCTTGTATATTTGTCAAGTTACTAAATGAATCCCTTTCGAGTCGTAGTTCAGGGCAATATGTATGGGAGGATCATCGTCCTAAATCGGGCATATGGAAGGGTAGCAGTGGAGGAGATGTCATATCGATTAGTGGATGTGACGATGATCAAACATCTGCGGATACATCGGTCAGTTTCAAAGAACAAGTGAACTTTGAGACACAAAACTTTACGATGACTGAGTTTTTGTACGCAGGCATTATCGAAGATCACGTCCACGGGAGCGATGACGTTCTGTTTTATACAAGCTATAGAACATGGAAACGCTTCTACGTATGGAACCTTGTTAACTTCAATGCGTAACGCTATACGTAATGGAAGAAGAGGGGTTGGTGGCGTTAGTGGTGCTGCCGTGACTTCCGTCTTTGATATGTTATCGGTCGGTGGCGGAGGAGGTGATGGTGGTGGTGGCGGCGGCTTGACCACAAGTCGTGGTTTCGGTCAGGTATCATTTCATCGCTACCAACTTAATTAGTGCAAAGGGCTAAAGGCTTTCTGTCTTGTTCTTGCCATATCTTATTAAAGCTAAACTGGAGAACCTCTCTATTTTATGAAATCACGAGAACACCCATATTACATGTGATAATATACGTCACAGACCTAGTTGCAAGCGGACATGTCCTACGACCTAGTGAAAGATCATGGTATCAAGTCACACTAAAGGTTGTCTGCAACATAGATTTAGTACCACATTTGATATATATAGATACATACATACATACATATATATACATACATACATATATATATATATATATGTATGTATGTATATATATATGTATGTATGTATATATATATATATGTATGTATATATCTGTATAAGCATAGATAAAAACACATCTAATGAAGAGAATTTTGTATTTTTGTTGACAGGAACCACAATTAACTGCTTGTGAGCCTTTCGATATGTATACAAAACAATTTTCCTTATGATACCGATAACTTGCGTACAGGATTCTCCCATCTACTCTTCATTTAGTTGTTTGTAAACCATTAATATATGTTGTATTGGACCCTTCATCGATGATAAATTAAATACCAATTTATGATGTTAACGATTAGAAATAGCCCTAAGAATGAGCATCAAATTGCAATCGAGAACGGTGATTTTGATATTACGCCCTGTTTTCCCCCAGATTCATTCACGGAATCACCTACTCTATCGAATTCTATTCACGACTGCACTTTTCCGCCAAGAAACCCTTGCTGTTTTTTCTACTTCATTACTAGCATCACTTAAGTAGCTCATCTACATCCATCTCCTATTCAGCAATTGCCTTTCCTTGTCTTGTCCTCCCTTCAATCCAATTATCTCTCCCCAGCTCTTTCAAGGGTTAAGTTGCCATCATCAGACTATCTCCAGACCACCATTGCTGGCATTATGGTAAATTGGGTCTACACCAAAAAGCGATAAGAGATGGAATTCACGGTTTCTAGATGCAGGCATACAACAATAGAAACATGTACGAGGGTAAATTTCAACAATGGTAAGTTCTCCTGCTTGTGGGGTTTACTACCATTAAATGAGTAGATGAGACATAGGTAACCAGGTTGTTGGGAATTATGACGGCCATGAGGTTGAGAATGGGCAACCGTATGGGGGGCAAAATGTCGACCAGCGTTTGAGAAATGGGTTTGGGTGTAGGTTCTATACCGGAGATGTACGGTCAGATGGGAAAGCCATGGATGTGTAGTTCATACAGGAATGGGGACACACACTGGAGAATATTTTGCAGACAACATTGCATGGATTTGGGTCTACAGCATGCAAACGGGCATATATACGAAGGATGATGGCACAAAGGATGATGGCAGGCTTGGTACGTATACTTTCAGATATGGTGAAACCTAATCTGGTTACTGGCACAACAGCATCATTGKTACTACAAGTTCACGAAGGTCAACACATCAAGTATCTCCTATTTCCGTCTATACTTCTATGGTTCTAAACATAGTCCACATAAATGGAACTACTGTTTCTGCTTGATGTCAGATTGTATATTAATGGAAGCTAATAAAGCACAACGAGCAGCAGAGAAAGCATATGATGTAAGCCAAAGTGGATGTAAGGGTTAACAGGGCGGTAGCATCCACGACAGATCGCCCAGTGCTGTTAGAGTTGCTGCAGCAAAGGCAGTGCAAAATAACAGCCCAACAGAAGTAACTGTGATGATCCTAATAACAACATCTATCATATATCAAACCAACTGGTTCCAAGAGCCTAATCGTCACACATTTCCTAGCTGCTAGTGCATTTCATTGTTCTGCTTATAGTTTCATAGATCATTCCTACAGCAAAGGGAAATGTTTGAAACTAGATCGTCTTGTATGTACATTAACAAGTATATCTGAAATCAAGATCAAATATGAGTAGCTTCAATGATTGAATTTCAGGCACATGCATAGTGTTCAAACTTAAGCATAAGATCCCATTCGCAATGTATTTTAACCAGTAATCAAAATTGTTAAAAAAACCCTTCTGAAATGTGCCAAGTAGATCAAGAAATGACCAAATCTAACTCTCGGTTTGCTCCCTCAGCCTACGGATGGTACTCCTGACAGTAACGGCACTAGCAGTACTGCAAGTAGAAAACGTACGTTAGTCTTGTTAGATGTTAATAGGGGATTATGAAATGCAATCACCACGAACGTACACAATTCAAGAGTATACTTACTTCAACGTATAAGCTCCGCCTGCTTTCACTTTGCCACAATCTTTGCAACCCCAGATTCCAACAGCCTTCCTTTTCACTGCATACTGCAAGTGTATACCCAAAAAATGTTTTAGAAAAAATCAATGTTTGTTAAATCATATTTACATACTCACACACAATAATGTACCTTTCCACAAAATTCACAGAAATATTTGCTGTGCTGACTGACTTCCATTTTCTTGATCTGCTTCCTCAAACTGGCACCATAACGTGTGCCTAAAGTCCAATAATTAAAGTATTAGAAACAACAGGAAAAACCTAACTAGAGGTGTTTGTTCTTGCCTTAATGGACTTATAACTTAACTCATTTAAGTTACACAATAATCCATTCAGCAAATCCTTTTCCCTATCATCTTTTTCTAGCTTCTTTGGCCAAATAGTTTATTGTTGTTTTACTATTATGTTGTTCACATTTTTTAAATTTGATCTATGTTGTTGCGTTATATATATATTGTTTAGAGAAAATAAATTTCAATATGTTTTTGAGGGCTAATACTTATTCAACACAAAAACAAACTATAATATATCTTAAAACAGC